CCGCCCCCACCCTTTAACCGCCGAGCGAAAACCTTATACTAGGCAAATGTGCTTACTGTGTTAACATTACCTATTTCGCAATGTAATGAGCCAATAAATCTAACTACGAACACATTTCCTTCACATTTTCCCCCGGTCATATGGGCAGGCGTGCATTGATCGTAGCTGGTTATTTTGAGGATTTTCATGTGGAGCGACAATGTGCGCAATGGACCACAAGCAGAGCCGAACGTGAACAATTTCTTACACACGCAACGTCGCACTCGCTCTGTCTCTCTGTCTCTCAGACACACCGACTCCATTCAGATCTTTTTCCTGCACGCTTCCGAATTCCAGATTTGAATAAGCAATCGGAGATCACGCTGAACAGTCTGTGTGAGAGCCTAGTTTGATCCAACGTTATACCGTCGATGACGAAATCTGAATTGAATATTCCTCAGCTTCCTCCGGGGAGCGGTGGTGAATTTAGTTAAAATCATTTGTTTGAAACTCTAGAGATACAATTCTATTCATCTATTTGACTCGATAATAAAATTGAATTCGTTTTTGCTTCTCTACACAAGCAAAGAAGTCCTGATAAGAGATCGTTGTCGAGGAGGAGAGATGTATTTGCAACTGGCTTGCTGAATCTTCTGCCGGCAGCTTTAAGGGCTCAAAATAATGGTATATATTTCCATAGAAGGATTTACAATAAAGATTATGATAAACTTCACTAATTTCCCCCGTTGAGCCTCCAAGTTCATGGCATGAACAACGCATCGTACGTTGGTTGATACGTAAATGACCCACAAGACTAGATCGTTCTGGCCAAAAAGCCACGGGTTTATCATTCAACAGCCGTGACCGAGGCACAAAGTTTGGAATTATTAACTCAAAGCATCAAGACAGTCTCTTGGATTTAACAAGACACTTGAAAATTCTGAAACTGAGTCAATCAAATAGGAACCAACGGTGTAACCGAGCCTCGCGTGTCAAGCGACAACGACCGCCAAAACAACAAACGTAATCGATGTATGCTGTTTCCAAGGCCTCTTGGTGATTGACATCGTGACTGTGCATGAAGAGTGCCCTGTTGAATAAAAAGTATATTCATGAGAACACAAAATAGCAAACA